ATCATATCATTGGAAAGACCGCCACAAAATAAACAAGATTCCAAAGTTTGGTTGCTTTTGGTTAAATAATGTGTAAGAAATGGACCTTCAATGTGTTCGAAAATTACAARGAAATGTATGGAGATGGACAGTGTCCATCCAGTACATACATTTCTTTGTAATTTTTGACAATTAAATTAATTTTTAATTAGGTTAATTTAGATAACTAGTGCCCAGTCTCCTGCTCGTTTAGGTAGAGGCCAATTACTCCTCTAACCTTACTTAGTATATGCCATTTTCTTTGTTGCAAAGCTAAACTTCACAGTATAAGATCTCATTGTCGTGTTTAATATTTGATAATTTATATTATTGCTTTTACAGATACACCATACAGAACTAAAATGACAAGTACCCATACGAGAGCCTGTTTAAATGACTCAATAACTCTAAATTGCACAACAAACTCCAACCCAGCAGTCCACGATTATCGTTTCTATTTGAATGAGCAGGTGATCCACACCAGCAGCTCAGGGATTTATACTTTTCCTGTAGCTCAATCTGGTAATAATACGTATAAATGCGAACCTATAAATGAAATTGGACCTGGAGTTAACGCTACCTTAACCATAATTACAAAAGGTGAGCATTATTTCATTTCAGAGGCCAAATTCCGTYTCTCAGTCTATGGAAGTTCTATGCTGATCTTTTGAAGACAATATTCTTGGAAGTGAAGATAATACTTCCTTAACAAGCCACTTATAAATGCAAAGCATTATTATATACAAAGCTGCTATAAGATGACTTTTGTCGTTTTATAGATCCGCCAACTATCATGTTTTCCTCTCCAAGCGACACATTCATCGAAGGGACAGGAATTTCTTTGGAATGCAATGTAACAGGAACTGAACCACTCAGCGTTTCATGGAGAAAGATCGGTGGTGCATCCTTTGCAGAAGGTTCTGTCAAACAATTCTCAAGTGTTAGTCGCCATGACGAGGGAGAATACCAGTGCACAGCACGCAATGGGGATGAATGTCCTGTGGCCATCGCAAACTCAACAGTGACAGTTATATGTAAGAATGATTTTAACTCTCAATTCTGCACTAATTCTGCATTAACGATTATGCACTCCTCAATTTAGACATTCACTGTGCAATACATTTAAATTACAGCTGCTGATTCTTAAATCAACAAAACTTAATAATTGTCATGATTTCGATGGGCTTGTTATCAAGACAAAAACGGCATTATTTAGTTCTCAAAACTATAATCTACTGCCAAAGACAATTTGGTCGAGTCTGATGCAAGTTGATTTTAAGCACTATTAGAAAATAAGTGACATGATCTGTGGTACTGGTTTTGAGAGGGTTCATTTCCGTGATTCAGTAAAAAACTTTTCGAAAATCATTGATATTTAAAGAGCATGCACAAGGAATAACAATCTAGTGTACTGAAAACACCCGATGCACCACAAGATATACAGGATAGACGTAATTAATTTAATCGCACTGTGCAGCAAGCAAGGTGGGTCGAGCTTCAATTAAGTTTTTCAAGAAACTAGATGATTTTGACCAGCTAATAGTTGATTATATGATCAATGGCCATCCTTCATCTGCATTCATAATGCTCTGATATTTAGAAAGTGTGCTCTAACTTTAATTTCTCGTACTAATTCTAATKAGTTAAATCTTTACCTATTGAGATAAAAAATGGAATCTTTCATATTTTTTCAGGCTTCTTTACCTATTTTAAAGAATGCGATAAAATTACAGTTTTCAGTTTTGTAAAAATGATAATATCAGCGACAACAACAGCAACAATAACGATTTAGTMAAATGCATATCAATACGCATTTTCGATCCCTGCTGTCCAGTTAACAGAATCAAAGAAGTAAACTAAAATATTCAGAATTCTTTTAAAGATGAATTCATTGCACAAGCCTGAGCACTATATAATCAGCTTATTCTTTATAAGCTCTTTTATAAGTAAATAAGTAACTAACACGTTAACTACTTTTTAACTATGCAAATTGCATACACGTATACGGATTTAACTATTTTAATCTGACAATTCGGCTTGGTTACTAACACATATTTGATGAAAAACCCGATTTTATTGTAAGCCTATTTTAACCCGGATACGTGTAGACAAGGCCTTTATTACTCTGCTGTTCTGTGTGATATTCTTTAAGTTACTATAATCGTGAGAAATGTTCTCAAATGACAATTGCTAAAAAGTAATTCTAAAAATGTAGGAGAAGTTCTTCACCACATAGTGAAAATGCTGTATCTTTTTATGAATTATCCGGTATCTTATTTTGTTTCACAGATAAACCAGAAAATATATCACTTTCATCCAATGCAAGTGATATCATCATGTCTGGTGATCCCATAGAATTAACTTGTCGATCATCTGCTAAGCCAAAGCAATGTCAAGTTCAATTCTTTCAAGGCCAATTGCTAATAGCCAATATATCAAGAAGTACATGCTCAGAAACTCACGTGATATCAAACATCAATGGCTGCAACCAAGAAGSGTTTTGGTGCGTTGTCGAAAATGAGGCTGGTCGTGGAGGAAGGGTTTTTCACAATGTCACTGTACAAGGTATATTCAATTCACCTTTCACTATTTCTGAATGAGAAGAAAATCTGAAATTTATGCTATAATCTTCCAGTTCCTGCCAAGATAACATTGAAGCCTATGTTAGACACAGTAATAAGGGAAGAGGGCCAAGCTTTATCACTGAACTGTACTTCAACGGGTTGTCCAACACCAAACATCACCTGGACGAAGCAAGGAATATCGCAACCTCTTGRAACAACCATTGGCAGTTTCTTAATTCAAGAATTCAATAATTTACTGAAATCACACACTGGATACTATAAGTGTTCTACAGATAATGGTGTTGACAAAAGTGATTTATTCAAGCAAATCTATTTGAATGTAACGTGTAAGTAGAAGAATACTTTTTCATTCTCAATTGAAGATGTTCCAGTACTATTCTCCATCTTGCTTTGGTTTCTTTCCAGACAAACCTTACAACACAAACATGACAAGTACCCATAGCAGATCCTGTTTAAATGATCAAGTGACGCTTTCCTGCATAACAAACGCAAACCCAGAAGTGCACGAGTATCGTTTCTATCTGAATGAGCAGGTGATCCACACCAGTAGTTCAGGGATTTATACTTTTCCTGTAGCTCAATCTGGTAATAATACGTATAAATGCGAACCCAAAAATCGAATTGGGTATGGAGCTAATGCCACTGTTGTTTTATTAACCAAAGGTAAATTTGAGATTATACTAGATCTGTACTGCTTGCATGAAAATCATACAATTTGAGCATTTTGCGGAATCTTTTTCAGATCCTCCAAAGATAATATTCTCGTCTCCAAATAAGACTTTCATAGAAGGGCAAAGAGTTTCTTTAGTATGTAATGTAACAGGTAGCGAAATGCTAAACGTTACATGGAGAAGAATTGGCAGCGGTTCTCATGCAGAAACTCCTGTGAAACAATTTTTAAGTATTAGTCGTCACGACGAGGCAGTTTATCAGTGTATAGCACACGATGGAGATGAGTGTCCTATGGCTACTGCAAGTGCAAAAATCACTGTCATATGTAAGAGTCATTTTATTTTAACTTATAGCACATTTTTAACATGACTGTAATATTATTTATGCTTATTATGCATGCAGATATGGATTATTGCACGTTCTTTTCGACATAAATTGTTCCTAATGCTTGTAAAAATGCCGCGTTGTCATAATCGCTGGGCTCATGTCCTACTAGCATGTTAGCGCATGTGCACGCTAAGAAATATCGCGACACCACTACTTTGAGCCTTGCTATTTCATCGGGGATTATTCTAAAATGGACACTGGCCACTGTGTCAGCACAGACCAACCCGGTGTAGATCCCAGACCGAGCTGTTACCGACGTTTCAAGTATCTTACTGTCTCACTGCTTCGTGTTCTCGAAGGCGTAAAACTGTAGGTCTCTTGCCTACGTCTCGCACCATCACCAGAGGGACAACGAAGAGCCCGCAAAAGTATCCGCAAATAAGAGTAAAGCACCGCTGACCTTTTCGTTATGGTCATGGAACTACACTGAGTATCATTCTGAAGCATATTTGCACATAAGAATTAGATTACATTGCCTCCGTATTGTCTTTCCAAATACTCATTTCAATTGCCTCCAACATGCAGTTGCCGAATAAATAGGAATATTACATAACATAACTTTGGTGATAAGCCTGAACAAAAGAAAACGAAAAAAGGTCACTATTGAAGTTATTTAATTGGATGTTTGATTACCTGCGATTATMAACTTCTCATTCAATTTTATGGCATTTATAGCAATCAATCAGAACATGAAACTTTTATCATAGCAATCAYTCCTGGGCATGCAACGTTATTCATTTATGATTAGAAATCACATCAAGGGGTCAGCGTGACCAATCAGTTTTAATTGCTAGATAGTGCAAGTTTTAAGCGGAAAGCATGCAATATTACTGCATGTGGAGGATGTGGATAATTCTATTTACAACCGTTGCCTCTTCCATTTGAGAAGGTGGGTTTTATAATATGTATTTGTATAATTAATACCATTGAAACAAGACCAAAACATAAAACTTGTCTTTTGAATTTGTTGCATYGTTACTAATTTTGAAAACTAAGATAATAAATATGACATAACGAGTACTTATCAGGCGTTCCCGATTTTTGGTTGAAACAGACGAACCAGAAAATATCTCGCTATTATTCAACACAAGCGTTAACTTACTCATGGAAGGACAACCCACCAAACTGACCTGCCAATCATCAGCCAAGCCTGAGAAATGCCAAGTGCTATTCTATCAAGGTGATCTACTACTGGCCAACAAGTCAAGTACCACATGCACTGAAAATCATATCATATCAAGTGTTCGAGGATGCAATCAAGAAACATTTTGGTGCGTTACTATGAATAGTGCGGGACCTGGTCAAAAAGCATATCACAATGTGACTTTGCAAGGTAGTGAGTTGCTTTATTTATTTACTATTGTGATACGTATCTGAATTTAGCTTGCAATGATCACTAATTGTTTTTGTCTCAGTTCCTGCCAAGATGACAATGAGTCCTTCGTCAGATGTCATTGTAAAGGAAGAAGGACAAGTTTTAGTTCTTAACTGCTCTGCAACGGGTTGTCCATCACCAAACATTACCTGGACGAAACAAGGACAACCGTCATCTCTTGGAACAACCATTGGT